CTGTCTGTCTGTCTGTCTGTCTGTCTGTCTGTCTGTCTGTCTGTCTGTCTGTCTGCCTGCCTACAAAAAATATACTTAATTTCCCTTACCTTTTGGCCCTGTAATGGAAGCCACAGGTAAGAGGGTATCCTCATCCTCGATGAGTAGAAACACAGCCAGTGTGCCTTTGCCGTCCCCCATTGCCCTATGGTAGAAGGTGAGACAGGACCCTTGCGTCGGGGGCAACATTTGGGAACTCAGTCTGGCAATATCAGAGACGTGGCGAGGCGGTGCTGAACGAATGTACGCAAAGTGGCCCTCTGGCAGAAAGGAAAACGGTATCATTTGTAGGATAGCAACGACGACGACAACGACAACGACAACGACAACGACGACGACGACGACGACGACGACGACGACGACAACAACAACAACAACAACAACAAACAACAAAATAATATGATAGCAACTAGGGACAACGAAGAGCGGAGAACCCGTTTTCGTCCCACAATTTTCATTTAAATGTATAAATTTCGCCGTACCCATTTTCGTGCTATTCGTTTTCGTCCCCTATTGTTTAAAAGGCTAGTCATCGATTATTTTACTCCAGCAACGGAAGAAGAAATCAAAAAGATCATATTAGATAGTCCATCAAAAAGTTGCGCTTTAGACCCCATGCCCACCAGCCTTTTAAAAAAATGTTTGCATGAACTTCTGCCACATATCACCCAAATTGTAAATGATTCTCTCCTCACAGGCACAGTACCAAATTGCTTTAAGACAGCACATATTAGACCCCTTTTGAAAAAATCTGGACTTGATGAAAAGGACTTAAAAACTTTAAGACCAGTTTCAAATCTTTCTTTCCTTTCCAAAATTCTGGAAAAAGTTGTATCTAATAGACTGTTACATCATATTAAAGCAAATAATCTTAGCGAAGTCTATCAGTCAGCATATAAGGCACACCATAGTACCGAGACAGCGTTACTTAGGGTCTGTACTGATATTTTAAAATATATTGATGAAAAAAAGGTATGTCTTCTTACTCTTTTGGACCTTTCGGCTGCATTCGATACCATTGATCATGACATTTTACTCGAGAGATTAAATACTACTTTGGCATAAAGGGTACTGTCCTGCGATGGTTTGAGTCATATTTTAAGGATCGAACACAAGCAGTTGTGGTTGGAAACACGTGTTCTAATAATGTTTTGCTTAGATGTGGTGTTCCTCAGGGGCCTGTTCTTGGACCTGTCTTGTTTACAATGTACACACAACCTATTGCTGATATTTTAAGACAATATGGCACGAATTACCATCTTTATGCTGACGACATTCAAATTTATAAGTCTATTGATTTCGATCATATACCACTTTTAGTCGACTCTACTGAACAATGTACTAGAGATTAAAAAATATGGATGACCAGCAATAAATTGAAACTAAATGATGACAAGACGGAAATAATGTTGAGTGGAAATACAAAAGCCATTAAAAATCTCCCACAGCTACAAATTGATATTAATAACCATACCATTCGTTCAAAAAGAAGTCTTAAAAATCTAGGGGTTCAGTTGGATTATGATATGTCTATGTCCTCCCAAATAAGCCAGCCCAGCAAAAGTATTTACTTTCAGCTTAAGAAAATTGGCAGTGTAAGAAATTATTTAACTAAAGCAGCAGCCAAGACACTTGTAACAACACTCATTTTATCAAAGTTAGATTACTGTAATGTTATTTTGTCCGGTTTGACATCCCAAAAACTATCAAAGTTACAAGTACTCCAAAATCAAGCAGCAAAATTGATAATGAAACAAAAGAAATCAGCCCACGTAACACCAATTCTGAAAGAACTACACTGGCTGTCAATAAAAGAAAGGATCAAATGCAAACTGCCGTTCTCTGTTTTAAATGTATAAATGATAGTGCACCTTTTTATCTTAAAACATTCCTGGAATTATAGAATCCACCTAGAGCCCTTAGATCAGCCTCTGACAATCTAATTCTTAAAACTCCAAAACAAAATTACAAAACATACGGCGAGCGTTCCTTTTTGTTCTTTGGTCCCCAGGTATGGAACGAACTCCCATATAAAATAAGATCTGCCCCAACCATTTCCATTTTCAAAAATCAGCTGAAGCATTTTTTGTTCACAAAAGCATACCTGTCATAATGATGTACTGTGATATATATGTATGTGTATGCCAGACTGTGAGACTGAAAAAAAAGCGAGTGAGAATGAGAGAGAGAAAAAGAGAGGGATAGAGAGAGAAAAGAGAGAGAAAAGAGAGAGATAGCGAGAGAGGGAGAGAGAAAGAGAGAGAGAGAGAGAGAGAGAGAGATAGAGGGAGAGGGAGAGAGAGAGAGAGAGAGAGAGAGAGAGAGAGAGAGAGGGAGAGAGAGAGAGAGGGAGAGGGAGAGAGAGAGAGAGAGAGAGAGAGAGAGAGAGAGAGAGAGAGAGAGAGAGAGAGAGAGAGAGAGAGAGAGAGAACGGAAATGATTTTCTATCCGTATAGAATTAATGTTTTAATGAATGTTTCTAGTTACTCACGTTTCAACTTTATTTTGACTGTTCGTGAATTTTTATTGCATTGTATGTTTTTAGTGAACACATTTTCAACCTCACTGCGAGACTGTTTTTCTGGTATAAAATTTTACACATATGCATTTATATTATATGTATAATACTTTGTTTTACGTACACCTTTGTGTCGATTAATTTTTAAGATGTGATGTCTTTTTCATTGTAATGCGCATTGAGCATCTTTTAGGAAATGGAAATGCGCAGTATAAATGCTATTTATTATTATTATTATTATTATTATTGATTCGATTACTTATAAGTTACTGCAAATGCCACTACGATTCCAGAATGGTTTTACTATGCGGAAAGTATTTTTTAAAATAATCACATCAACAGGGAGGTGGAAAAAGGAATTCGTAAAGTTTGCCAAATAATTCTCTCTGATATAAAAGTTTTGAGAAAAACACTTGTAATAGAATTTGTTACAAATTTGTTATAAACCCAGGGTAAAACTTCGCACACTGTTTAGGCTGATATTCCCTGCAACGCTGCAACGTACCGAACGTTTCAGAATAAAACCATACCCGCACATCAGGCGAAAGACGGTGTGTGTGTGTGTGTGTGAGAGAGAGAGAGAGAGAGAGAGAGGGAGAGAGAGAGAGAGAGAGAGAGAGGGGAGAGAGAGAGAGAGAGGGGGGGGAGAGAGAGGGGGGGGGCGATTATAGGCAAAAAAAAGTAATCGGATACATTAAATTGCAAATGTGGAACGAAAACGGGTGAAATCGCGGGGGAAGAAAGTGAGACCAAAATGGGTTGTGAAAAGAAGATGTGGGGCGAAAATTCGTACACCATTACTGAATGGAGGCCAAAAAATTTCAAGTAGATCTACATAAGCTCACCTTCCATGACACCCGTTCAGCCTCTTGTTTTGGTCCAAATAAAACCAGTCCAAAAGAACATTATTTTGAGCTCACCTAAATGCCCGCGGGTTTCGGAGGAAAGTTTCGGCGTCCCAAGACGCTTTACATTTTCTAGGACAGTGAAAATGTTATCTTTGGAAATATGTATTTGAAGATGATTTACACCGTTATCGACGCAAGTTAGATAAATAAAGAGGCCAGCCAGGGGCGAAGGCTGACTTATTTGACAGGGTAATCAAAGTGAAACGGGACCAGATATGGCCTGTAGATATCACACAAGAATCTTACTCGAGGCGGCGACTCTGAGTTGTGAATGAAAACAAATCAAGAATTCATATTGTATGTTCAACCGCCAAAATAATCGGGAAAATATCTTATTAAATATCAATTCCAACTAAAATGAAATTTAATTTTAGATGTGAATACACAAACACAAAGCAAAGAAGCAGAGATGTCAGTACTAGATCTATGTTATAGATCTACCAGTGAGTCTAATTCTTTGGTAGAAATTGACAATTATCATTTTTAAAATTTCACATTTGGCTGTTTTTGTTAGCCTTTCGCGGCCAGGAGCTGGTGTCATAATCGAGGTCACGATCTGATTATAGGACGGTAAAAAGTCGAGGAAAAAAACCCAAGCATTTGCAGCAGTCAAGAGATTATTAGGAGTTAGTTCCCCTCACATTTGTGAGGTAGACTCAACCAGTGTTAGTTAGCTTACATAATCAGGGCTTAGGATTGCTTATAACTGTGGCCCCAAAGGGGTGAACAGGGTATTTGTGGCAATGAAACAGTTTTGACTGCTATGCACATGTTCCCTTCAACTCTATTGGTAGACTCTTCCAGTCTCACTTCAAAGCTTGCGACTGCTTATGGAGTGGCCGCAGAGGGTTGAGCAGGCTATTTTTGTGGCCGTGAAACCGTTTTTAATGTTAGGCATACTGTTCATTGTACATAAAATTTATGAGGTTTACGTTTATTGGTGAATTTGACAGCGACAATGTTTCAAAATTAGGAAGGGAAGCAGTGATTATTTGATTATATAGACGCTTCACCACTGAGGCCAGCTGCTTCGACCCACCCTGGTAGGGCCAACCCAGGCTGAGATGCATACAAAGAAAAACAACAACTCCAAAATACGAAAATACTCGATTTCACTCCCCTCTCCTACTATCCACGGAGGAATCGAACTCTTCTGCTTGTGATGGCGAAGTACCTAAACGCCGCATCACAAACACCCTTGTTCGTTTAGTGCAGGAGGAAAGTGAGACAAACGACAGAAGCAATAGAGGGACAGCAAAGAAGTAGAATTACCAGTGAAATCCCTCAACCACCCACTGAATTCTCTTGTCGTGTGAAGAGCTGGTGCAATTATAGTGCTGTGAAAAATTCGTGGCGCAACGTATTCTCAAATACCTCTTTGACGGGTGGATCAATGTCACTATACTGTGCACAGCAGTGTGTATCAATTTGTGTTAACTTGATCATATTTGTCCACAACAAAATTAAGGCTATATTAAAATACTTTTCTTCTTAAATTTATATAAAATGCCGCAAATAATCTCCTTAACGCGGAATATGGAACTGTTCACAGCACTTCTCGCTTCTCAAACACAATTTTGCGTAAGCATATGGCTTACGTCACAGTTCACCAATGACACTTTTTAATGGCAAAACTAGTTACAAGAAATTAATATTATATTGAACACTTTTTTTGCTCTAAAAGTTCTCAAAACATGCGTTCAATAAATATAATCTCGAGATTAGAAAAAAAACCCGACGGACTTGCTTTTAAAAGTAATATTATCCCAACTGTAAACCTTTTAAAATCATTAGAAACCACCAACTGAGATTTTTTATTCGTGCTTATTAAGGAATGTTCTACGATATAGCTAACAGGTGTTTACCAAAATATTTTTCTTAAATAAAATTGATACAAGTCACTGTGCAAAAACTGGAGACTTTATTTCGACAGTTGAGGAGATATTTGACAACATAATATTATTGCGCCTCGAATTTTTGACAGCACCATAATGGAATCAAATGTCTGTGTACGCGTTTATGTAAAGTCCTTTCTGTGCTTCACTGTCGCATGCAGAAGATGCCTATTTGATGCCTGTGTGGATTTTTTTTTAAAATCGAACATCTCAGCCTTTCTGCTGGGACGTTGTACCCTTTCAGTCTGGGGTGAACCTTACAGGAAGCGTCGAGGCCCACCTCCTAAATGATCTAAATTGTGTCGATTGGGGCATAAATACATATATTTTTTTAAAAATCGATAAGAGTAGGCTTCGGCGGACACCCGGGCAAAATTTTAAAGTTCCTACCAACTGAAAATGTTTCGTGTGTCCCGCGCGCTCATATGATCATATGCAGTTGCGAGCACCGTAAAACACTTACCGAATTTTTTTTTCTGAATCCTCCCTATCTAGGTTACACTCATTAGTCGATATACTCACCCCTCCCTTGTCCATAAGTGTGGTCTGG